ATACAACTTGCTTCTGTTTTAGGGCTTGGGGCTTAAGGATTTACCAGTTAATTACCTTACAAGCCCAGTCACCAAAAACATAGGTCTAATCAGGGTTTAGGGTTTAGGGCATTATCCGCCAATGGGAACTGCAGCCAACTGCAGCCAACAATTGTCGTCTGCTGGCAGAAGTTGAGGTAGAGTTTAGGCACAAGAATCGACCGCCTTGCACCACTGAACGCCCTTCGTGTCACTTGCCCTAAAAATATAAAATACCAAACCCTCACACAAAAGATAATTAGGGTTTAGGGTTTAGGGCCCTCAGAGCAGGAAGCGCGCCTCCCGCCGAGCCCGGTTCGGGTCCGCCGAGGCAGACAGCAGGAGTTCGAGGGCCTCGCGTTGAGCTCCGGGCTTGCGTTTCAGGGTTTGTGGTCTATCGGGGTCAGGGTTTAGGATGTGTGGTCAAGGGTTCAGGTTTAGCGTTTCATACGACTTTATAAAGGCTTGTAGAGTTAATGGCTTGGGTATCCTTTGGGCTCCAGTGTCTGGGGCTTAAGGGTGTCTAGGGTTGAAGAGTATGGAAGTTTGAGGGCTTCGGGCTTAGGTATTTAAGGGCTTCGGGGGGGCTTCTGAAGGTTTCAAGGGTGGGGGTTCGTGTGTAGCGTTTAGAGTTTAGGGGGTAGGAAGGTTTCAAGGAAGTAGGGTTGTGACTTTTGGGCTTTCGAATTCAAGGGTTCGGGTTTAGGGTTTTAGGTTTAGGGTTTTAGGGGTTTAGGGTTTTAGGGTTTAGGGCTTTAGGGTTTAGGGTTTTAGGGGTTTAGGGTTTTAGGGTTTTAGGGTTTAGGGTTTAGGGTTTAGGGTTTTAGGGTTTAGGGTTTAGGGTTGTAGGGCTTTATGGTTTCAGGGCGCACGGAGTGACATAGGCGATTGGGATTTCAGGGCTGATGGTTTTCGGGAACTCGAGGATGCGCTTACTGGGTTTAGGGTTGACAGTTTAGGCGTTAAGGTTTAGGGTTTGGGGTTTAGGGTTTAGGGTTTAGGGTTCAGGGGTTCAGGTTTTAGCGTTTAGGGTCTGGGGTTCTCGGCTTAGGTCGCCGATGGCAGCTGGCCTGGGCCTCGCCAGCTTGAGCTTGGCCAGCTTTGCAGATTCGTTCAAGATTTGGGGATTTGGGAGGCAGGACCTAAACCCCCCCTAAACCCACCCCCTAGCCAAACCCTAAACCCCCATTCTAAACCGCCCCAATGCCCCAAAACTCTAAACCCCCCCCCCCCCAAAAAAAAAAAAAACAGCCCCCAAAACCCCCTAATCACCTTTAGCCCAAAACTTCAAAAGCCGAAAGCCCCCAAGCCCTAAATCCACTCAATCCCCCAAATCCCTGAATCCTAAACCCCCTAGTACCGGAGCCACTCCTCAACCCCTAAACCCTCAACCCTAAACCCTAAACCCTAAACCCTAAACCATAAACCCTAAACCCCAAACCCTAAACCCCAAACCCTAAACCCTAAACCGGCGGAGCCCCGGCCTTCGGGCTCCCAAACTGCGTGGCAATGAAGGTGGCAGAGGCGCCATCGTCCTCACGGAGGCTAGGGTTTAGGGTTTAGGGTTTGGGGTTTGGGGTTTAGGGTTCAGGGTTCAGGGTTCAAGGTTTAGGGTTTAGGGTTTAGGGTTTAGGGTTTAGGGTTTAGGGTTTAGGGTTTAGGGTTTAAGAGTTTAGGGCTTAGGGTTTAGGGTTTAAGGGTTTAGGGGTTCAAGGTTGAGTGTGCAGGTTGATCTTCGGGCTTAGGGCGCAGGGAGTTCTGCCCCCTCAGCAAAGCTTGAACCTTGACACCCCAAACCTTAGACGGAGGGTCTGACTCCCGATAAACCCTAAAACCTAAAACCCAGACCCTAGCGGGACCCTACCGGAACCCTCAACCCTACAACCTAAGCCCTCGTTGGGCCCGAAACCCTGAACCATGGGCGCTATCTGACGTAACGTTCATGGGGCCTTGTTCTTGAGGGTTTAGGGTTTAGGGTTTAGGGTTTAGGGCTTAGCGTTTAGAACCCCTCAAACCTTCAACCCTCAGCAAATGCTGCTGCCAAAGGCGTCCTTGGTGGTGTCGGCATTGGCACGCGCCTCCAGCAGCACCTGCAGCACCTCCAAAGCGGTTGACTTTAGTCCTTTAGGCTGTTTAGGGCTTTGGTTTTAGGGTCTTGAGGGCTAAGCGTTTGGGGTTCAGTCGACGCTTCAGGTCACAAAGTTGAGGCTTCGGTTCGTTCAGGCTCAGTTTTCGGTCCTGAGCTCAGGGTGTAGGGTTTAGGGTTTTAGGGCCTGGGGCTTAGGGTTTAGGGTCAGGGCTTTGGATTTGGGGCTCAGGGCTTAGGGTTAACGTTTAGGGGTTTAACCCTAAACCCTAAACCCTAAACCCTAAACCCTAAACCCTGAACCCTGAACCCTGAACCCTAAACCCTAAACCCTAAAACCCTAAACCCTAAACCCTAAACCCTAAACCCTAAACCCTAAACCCTAAACCCAAACCCTAAAGGGGTTTTGGGGGCTTAATGACCCAGGCAGGTGTTTGGCTCTTCAGAGCCGAGAGTGCCTGAGAACCAAGCACCCGTGCCCACCACGCAAGCAACTTCGAGGTTCTGTTTAGGGTTTAGGGTTTTGGGGTTTAGGTTTAGGGTTTAGGGTTTAGGGTTTAGGGTTTAGGGTTTAGGGTTTAGGGTTTAGGGTTTAGGGTTTAGGGTTTAGGGTTTAGGGTTTAGGGGTAGGGTTTAGGGTTTAGGGTTTAGGGTTTAGGGTTTAGGGTTTAGGGTTTAGGGTTTAGGGTTTAGGGTTTAGGGTTTAGGGTTTAGGGTCTCAGGGTTTATATAGGGTTTAGGGTACATTATTTGGGGTCCTGGTTATCTGGGAATTCCCACTATTTTGGCGATCGACTTTGGGGTTCCCCTATTTTCGTCAACCCCGAGAGCTTGAAGGTTTAAGGTTTAGGGTTTAGGGTTTAAGGTTTAGGTCTTAGGGTTTAGGGTTGAGCCCTCCAAGCCTCCGCGTGGTCCTTCATCGCCGCGGCGTACACTGGACTAGCTCCGTCGCTGATGCCCTCATCCTGCCCAACATCCAGTCCACGGAGAGAGAAGGAGGAATCTAGGAGGGTTTAGGGTTCAGGGTCTACCGTCTAGGGGTTTAGGGGTCAGGGTTTCAAGGTGCACGTTTAGTGACTTCGACCCCTCCGCCCAGCTTGGCAAAGCCTAAACCCTGAACCTTAAAACCCAAAACTCCGCAGCCGTAGAAGTTTAGGTCAAAGCTCCCGCCCCCCTCCCCCCCCCCAATACAGCCAAAGCCTCCTTCAGACCTAATGATTACGATATAATTATCATAGAGCCTTGTTACTTCGCCCTTAACCGTAAACCCTAAACCCTAAACCCTACACCCTACACCCTAAGCCCTAAACCCTGTTACTTCCTGTTAAACCCAAAACACTATCAACCCAAACCCAAAAAGACTGAACCCTAAACCCGAAAGCCTAAACCCACACCTCTAGGGCCTAGTGGTGCTTACGAAGGCGAGTTAGGGTTTAGGGCTTAGGGTTTAGGATTAAGCTACATCAAAACCAAAAACAATGTTCGATGTTTGGGTGAGAGTTTTTGCTGCCTCTTGTAACCTTCAAAGGATCAAAGTGACGCAGAACCCTATGTACACACGCGACAAGACAGTACTATGGATCCTGTCTCATGTGACTCTGGTAGGGGCACGAAGCCGCATTAAGTTCCCTTCTTGAAAGAGCCGAACAAGGATCCGTGAGCATGCGTTTAACACGGCAGGAAAGGCCAAGTAGCCCTTTGAGCCCTCTGAAAGCATTTCCTAAATGTGACCTCTTAAAGAAACTAGACCCCTTCGAGTTGACACACTGTTCCCTGCACCCTCATATAGGGGCCTGAATAACTAAAATAGGGTTTCGGGGGTATGGTATAGTTATAAAGGGGCCATGAGGGAATACCCTAATATAGGGGCCTTAGTAATTAGAATAGGGTTTTGGGGCGCCATTAGAGTATAATTATAAAGGGGCCACAAAGGGAATCCGATAAGTCAATATTCCGACACCCTAAAACTAAATCCCAAAAACCCTACCCAGGAAGGCATGGAAATGACGAAGGCCCTTCTCTAAGACTCTACGTGTCCTGTTTGGATCGAAAACGGCTTTCAGAAGAATTTCTAGCCTTCATTCTAAAGCCTGAGTCCTAGGTGAAGGCTTCAGCCGAGGGCTGAGGAAGCATTTTTTGGTACCCGAAGCGTTTAGGGTTTAAGTTTTGGGGTTTAGGGTTTCGGTTTAGGCAAGCTACTCATACTCAAAAGTAAACCTCGAACAACAAGGAGCCCGATACAGAACAGCCTGCATTCACACTTCCGCCCCCTGGGCCGTGCGCCTGCGCACCTGGAAATTCCGCTAGCAACCTGGACGAGGAAAGGATATAAGGCTTAGGGTTACGAATTTCAGGGTTCAGGGGTTTAGGGGTTATTTGGCTTTAAGCTCCTAAACCCTACACCCTAAACCCTAAATCCTAAACCCTAAGCTACGAGAACCCCTTAAGCACCCCCCCCCCCCCCCCCCCCCAAATGCTGCCTTCGGGCCTGGTCGCTTTCTTCTTTTTCCACAGGGGCGCTGCTTTAGCCTCCTTGATCTCGCTTTGGAGGGTGACAACTGGTTTCCGATGGCTAGGGTTTGGCTCTACTCCAAACCCTGATGCCTGGAACCCTGCAACCCTAAACCCCTAAAATCTGAGACCCTGAACCCTACAAAAATCACAAGACCCCTGAACCCCAGGCTCCGAATTCAAAACCCTAATGCGTCCCTATTCTAGCCTTAAACCATTCAGGTGAAGCCCAATGTTGGCAGGGGAAGCCCTCGCTAGACCCAGGAGTCACTTAGGAAAAGAAAGGGTGCCTTTTTTGGCTAGGGATCCAAAACCCTAAGCCCTAAACCCTAAACCCTAAACCCTAAACCCTAAACCCTAAACCCTAAACCCTAAACCCTGAACCCTACTTCACGTAGTACCCCGCCAGCCAGTCGGGCGGGCTGCGAGCGTAGCCGAGCCAGAAGACCACCCCCGCCGCCACGCAGGCCCCAGCCTGTCAGGGGGAGCCGGGGTAAGGGGTTAGGGGTTAGGGGTCAAAACCCCCAAACCCTAGACTCTGCTTTAGAACCCTAAACCTCAAACCCTAAACCCTAAACCCCCAAACAAACCCTAAACCCTAAACCCCCAAACCCCAAACGCCAAACCCCAAACCCAAATGCGCAGGGAACTGGCCTGGAGGTTCACAAAGCACCGGGGGCCTTTGAGGAGGGAGGCTCGGGGGCTGAGGCTGGAGGGTTTACGGGCTTTGGGGCTTTGGGGGCTTCAGAATTTGGAGTTTAGGGTTTAGGGTTGAGGGTTGAGGGTTGAGGGTTGAGGGTTGAGGGTTGAGGGTTTAGGGTTTAGGGTTTAGGGTTTAGGGTTTAGGGTTTAGGGTTTAGGGTTTAGGGTTTAGGGCTTCAGGGTTCGGCGCTTAAGCTTTAGGGTTCCGGCTTTTCGCGTTTTCTGAACCTAGGCCTTGGTGGACCAGGGCCTGCGTGGCGGCCATGGAGAAGAAGCTCGGGATCACACTCTTGGCGAAGATCTCGCAGGAGGCCGCCATTCCAGCACCTGGGTGTGGGACTTGGGGGTTTGGGGTTTAGGGTTTAGGGTTTAGGGTTTAGGGTTTAGGGTTTAGGGTTTAGGGTTTAGGGTTTGGGGTTTAGGGTTTGGGGTTTAGGGTTTGGGGTTTAGGGCCTAGCGTCTAGGTTTTAGGGTTTAGGGTTTAGGGGTCTAGCGAAGTAGTACCCACATCCATTAATGGAAGGATAGATTCCCGTCTGAGCGAGGTACTAGAAAACGAGCAAAAATCAAAACAGCAAAAAAAAAAAAACCTAAACCCTCAGCCCTAAACCCTAAACCCTAAGCCCTCAACCCTAAACCCTAAACCCTCAACTCTTCGTCGGAGGCTCAGTCTTCCAGCGGCTCGAAGAAGAGGACATTCCTCAAGGGACTAAAGGAGGGACCGGAGGGACCTTTGTAAGGGTTTAGGGTCTAGGGTTTAGGGTTTACGGTTTACGGTTTGGGGTTTAGGGTTTCGGGTTTGGGGTTGGGGACGAAAGAAACTTAAGGGTCCATTCTGGGGGTGCTTCGAACCCAGAGTTTAGAGTTTCGGGTTTTGTGCGCTTGGCGCCCTGATTCTTGGAATTCCAATAGTATGCCAAGCACCTAAACCCTTAACCTGAGAACCCCAAGCACTGCTTTCTCGAGACCACGAGCCTCCCACCTAAACCTACCCAACGCCAAAGCCCAAAATATTTGCCCTAAACACCGAAACCTCAAACCGCCAATCTCTCACTGAGAACCTTCAACCCTAAACCTTAAACCCTAAACCTTAATCAACCTTAATCCTAAACCCTAAACCTAAACCCCAAACCCTAAGACCCCAAAGCACCCCAACCCCAAAGACGAGATTCACAGCGACCAGGGCCATGGTCATCACGCTGGCCTAAAGTCTGGGATTGTGGGGTTGAGGCTTTGGGGTTTAGGGTTTGGGGTTTGGGGTTTGGGGTTTAGGGTTTGGGGTTTGGGGTTTAGGGCTTGGGGGCACACCGTTTAGGGGTTTAGGGCTTAGGGTTCAGCAGGTCCCACAACACTGGGAGAGCATGCTCTCAACAGAACGCTCCTTATTTAGGGTTTAGGGTTCAGGGTTTAGGGTTTAGGGTTTAGGGTTTAGGGTTTAGGGTTTAGGGTTTAGGGTTTAGGGTTTAGGGTTTAGGGTTTATAAAGAGTGCTTCCCACTTCCAAAGCCTTTGAAACCCTAGTGACCAGCCAGACCCCAAAAACTCAAAACACCAGCTTCTAGTAGGGCGCCGGGGGGCTGTGGGTTCAAGGACGGTTTTCCTCACCAGCACAGCACGAATGAGCATAATAACCATCATACAATGCTTCCCCTACCAGGAACCTCAGTTTAGGGTTTCGGGTTTAGCGTCCCTAAACCCTAAACCCTAAAGGAGGGGGGGGGGGGGGGGTGCTGTTGAACAAGAAAGCCGCCATGCCAAGAGCCTTAATAGGGATTGTAGTACCCCCTCTCATAATCCCTATTAAGGTTTGCTGGTATGCTAGTGGGAACATCCCAACCTATCTCCCTATCTCCCTCCCTCAACCCTGACTGGAAATAGCTCCCGGGGCCTGCAAGAATGAGCCGATCAGGTAGCCCCAGAGAAAGTGGGGGTAGAACCTCGGATGGGGGGGGCTGTGGCAAATGAGAGTTCAGGGTCTGGAGTTTCGGTTTAGGGTTTCGGGTTTAGGGTTTAGGAACCCTAAACCCTAAACCCTAAACCCTAAAACCTAAACCCTAAACCCTAAACCCGGGCCGAGGAGCGCTTCCAGCAGGATCGAGCCAAGCCCGGCCAGCGTGAGAAGCGCCAGTGAGATCTTGGACACTTGGAGGATGCCCCTGGAACCTTCGGTCCCGGGGTTTAGGGTTTAGGGTTTAGGGTTTAGGGTTTAGGGTTTAGGGTTTAGGGTTTAGGGTTTAGGGTTTAGGGTTTAGCTTTCAAGGGTGCTTATAGCCCCAATTAAACTGCACTTAGAATCCCCCTAAATCCTGTAAGTAGGTTGTGAGTACAGCTATATTTGGGGGTATAAGTACCCTTGAATCTCCAAGTAAGCTAGGACTCAAGCAGGGTACCCTCTGTTGCGAGCAGGGCGGGGGCTTGAAGGGACCTGACCCCCCTGCAAAAAAAAGGAAATAAGGGGCCCCACTCTGGATCCTAGGTACAGAAGGTCTTCGTCACGAAGACCCCCAGGCTGTTGCAGGCTCCAAAGGTAAGCATCACAAAAGCCGCCGTCATCACCGACCCATGGAGGGCTACCTCTGTGAAGTAGCTCGAGTTGGCGTTGAAGGTCAGGCAGCCTCCGCTCTCCGAGGAAGTTGGGGGGACACAGTAAGTAGTTCTGGATTTGGGTTATTCGCATTAGCAAAAATCGTGATGCATAGCAAATGGCTATGGAGTAGGGTTATTAGGCAAAAGAAGCCCCACGAAAGTCCGATTCACGCACTTACCCAACAAGCTTGCCCCTGGCGCCACCCTCCCCCTCAACTTCGAAACCTCAAAAGGACATTCCCAGCCTCCCATGATGCAGCTCTGCGTAAGCAGCAAGCACAGGAGGTGCGGGTCCAGAACGCGCCACAGGTCTCGGAGGTAGCTCTCAGACGCCCGATTCGGGCAGCTCTCCACCATCACCAGCCAGGCATAGATTGCAAGCACAGCCCAAATCAGGGCCAGTATGAAGAAGGATGTCCGCCAGCTCGAAAGCTGTGCAAGAAATCCTCTCGCTGCGAGCACTGCGAGGAATGAGGGAGCCGACTGTTTAATAAAACACAATCACATAGCTATATAACCAGATAATAGTACAATAATGTCGGAATACATTGTTTAATAATATAGTAATGCAATATATAAGGATCTAGCAATAATGTAATCATATACTAATATCATGATACAAGCATTTAAGAATATCGTAATTTAGTAATATCAATAATAGCGTAACATACTAATAGAATAAGAATATAGTACTAGAATCATTGTATCATAATATCATGATATGTTGATATCATAACATAATGTCGTGATAATATATAAACATACAATATTCTAAAGTTCAGAATATAAACATGATATCATAACACAAGATTGGGATTAGATATGGTAATACATACTATCGTAATAAAGTAGTACGTCAGGAATAAATTACCATAATAATATATAATGTTCTGATACTTTTAAAAACAGTACATTACAAAAACATTAAAAAAACAGAATCACATCACAGAATAATGATAGAATAATATACTAATAGAAACACAAAAGAGTCAATCATATATCAATACAAACATATCCGGATTTAGTGATAGATAGTGTAACAATATGATGAGTTTCTTCAATAATGATGTAATAATATACCAACTGATACGTGTAAAATATAAACTTTCAATCATCTGACAATGGAATAATATGGTAATAGGCATTGACTAGAGTAGTGTGGCGATATAGTATAATCATCGACTACCAGAACGACATAACAAGATGGTTCTTTTGTAATATATGGGGGTTTCCGAAAATAGGGGTATCCTTTTGGGGGTTCCTATACCAAGGATTATACCATTTTGGGGTATATTCAGGGTACCCCCCTGTTTCTGGAAATGCCCCATATTGCTCGTTCATTCTGTTCTTTGGGTCTTGGTTCTGAGTCATGGCGAGGGCGCTCCTCCAGCACAGGGTGCAACCAGCATGCCACCGATGGACATGACCTGCAGCATCGAAACCTCGGGTGGCCCCATAGAACCCTCCGAGAGAAGATTCATGAATATGATCCTCTGAAACCCAAAATAGAGCAAAATGTGTTTAAGAAAACCCATGAAGATGATCCTCTTAAACCCTATAGGGGAAAGTATGAACATGTCCCCAAGGGCCGAAGCCCTAAACCCTAAACCCTAAACCCTAAAATACAAAATATCCCCCAAGGGCCTACCTAGAAACGATTCCGAAGCGTTCCTTGGGATCGGTGAAGTGATCGCGGACGATGGCGAAAAGCACGGGCTCCACTGACTCACCGATTCCCTGAAGAACTCGCGCCGCGAAGAACCACTCGATGCGACCGGCGCACGCGCAGCACACGCTTGCCAAGCTCAGCAGCAGCAAGCACAGGAGCATGATTGGCCTGCGCCCGACGCGGTCCGAGAGCCCTGCAGCAATCATCCCGAAGGTGGCCTTCACGATGAAATTCGTCTGCACCGTGAGGCTCATCAAGCTTTCGGTGGCAGCGAGGTCCACCTGCATCTGGGGAAGGCTTGGCACGTACTGGTCCGTGGTGAAGTAGGTGAAGGTGTAGATGATGCCCAGAAACACCTCAACCGCGATGCTACTTGCTGACAATTGCGGACAGACGACCCCACACGTTTAGCCGCAACAGACCCCTCAACCCTAAAAGTTTAAACCCCCCCCCACCCACCCACCCACCCACCCACCCACCCACACACACACACACACACACACACACACACACACCCACGCACGCACGCACGCACGCACGCACGCACGCACGCACGCACGCACGCACGCACGCACGCACTCACGCACGCACGCACGCACGCACGCACGCACGCACGCACGCACGCACGCACGCACGCACGCACGCACGCACGCACGCACGCACGCACGCACGCACGCACGCACGCACGCACGCACGCACGCACGCACGCACGCACGCACGCACGCACGCACACACACACACACACACAAAACCATCAAATCAGTCCAGGTCGAGGGGCTACCCAGCTCGTGGGGCAGTCCCCTTGCACGCTCGCATGCTGCGGAGCGCGGCGCGGAAAGCCGAACAGTAGCAGAGAGGCGCAGGCCAGAAAGAGGCACACGTAGATCATACTGACCAGGTACCTGGAACCCCCGAAACCCGAAATCCTAAACCCTAAACCCAAAACCCTAAACCCAAAACCCTAAACCCAAAACGGTTTAGGATGGTTTGGGCTTAAAGAGCATCAACGCCTCAACCCCCCAACTTTAGTGAGTGGCTCATCTTATCAGACATTCACTGAACCGATATCCACGGAACCTGAAGTTTGGGGTTTAGGGTTTCGGGTTTAGGGTTTAGGGTTTAGGGTTTAGGGTTTAAGGTCAGCGTCCTTGGCGTTGCAGCTCTTACTGGTTGGGTTTGATGTCACGCCACTGTTTCGCAGAAATGCTTCTGCAGGCACACCGCCATGGCTTGCTGCCTGCTACCTTTCCTATTCGGAAAACAACCGGCAACGCCAAGCACCCAAAGCAAAAAAACATCAGAAACCAGAACGCTCTAAACCCTAAACCCTAAACCCTAAACCCTAAACCCTAAACCTTAGACCCTAAATCCTAAACCCTAAACCCCTAAACCCTAAACCCTAAACCACGAAACTTACTCCAAAAGCCCAGGCGCTGGGCCAGCCACTCCGAAAAGGGGCGCTGCGCGGCGGCCTCGTACCACCGGGGCGGTACGCGGAGCCAGCTCAAGGGCAGGGAAGCCTCAGGGCAAGGGTTTAGGGTTTAGGGTTTAGGGTTTCGGGTCCAGGGTTGAGGGTTTAGGGTTTAGGGTTTAGGGCTCAGGATTTAGGGTTTAGGGTTTAGGGAACAGGGTGTAGGCTTTGGGGTTGAAAGGGTTCAGTTGAGGGTTTGGGGGCTTCGGGTTAACCCTACACCCGAAACCTGCTCCCTTGGACCCTGCACCCCAAACCCTAAACCCTCAACCCTGAACCCTAAACCCTAAACGCCCTAAACCCTAAACGCCATAAGCCCTTAACCCTAAACCCTAAACCCTAAACCCTAAACCCTAAACCCTAAACCCTAAACCCTAAACCCTAAACCCTAAACCCTAAACCCTAAACCCTAAACCCTAAACCCTAAACCCTAAACCCTGACCCACCTCGGCGTAAAGCTGGGTGCCGATCTGGAGGAAGGCTGGGACATCGCAGGCATCCTCCCACGCCATGGCGCGGGATGGGCCGCCGGGGGCCTCAAAGCCCCCAAGGCCCAAAGCCCTGTGCCGCCCTAAACCCTAAACCCTAAACCCTAAACCCCAAACCCTAAACCCTAAACCCTAAACCCTAAGAGGTTGAGGGTTGGGGGTTGAGGGACTTGCCGGCCTTGCGCCTAGAGAGTTTGGGGATTCAGAGCTTCGCTCTCCGGGTTTGAGAGGCTGCGCGGGCTTTCGGAAGCTCCTTCCGAAAGCACGATAGGGCGTTGAGAGGGGTCTGCCCCAAGCTCTAAGCCCGAGAGTTTGTGATTCAAGGTTTAGGGGTGCTGGAACGCGCCATGGTGCCTTGCTTGAGCAGACCTCAGCCACGAGGGATGAGAGGAGTTGCCCTACGTTGCGACGGGTTCCGGCGTTTTAGGGCTCAGTGCGCCCCTCCGCAATCCCAGGCTAACTTGCCAGTGTGGGTACCCTAAACCCTAAACCCTAAACCCTAAACCCTAAACCCTGAAACTCAGGCCTAGGGTTGGCCATCCTGAAACGAAACCCTACACCCGAACCTGTTGACGCCCAAACCTGGTTTCGTTTGAGCCAACTTCTACCCCAATCCCTACACCCACCGTGGACTTCAAGCACGCGGCTTAAAGCAAGGGGTTGATGAATTTCAGGTTTTGGGCTTTTGGGGTTTGGGCTTACAGTTTGGGACCCCCACATGGGTACACCTTAGGGGTCACAGGTAGCCCTTTGAAAGCCATGGCTCACGGCCCGAACTCCTAAACAGGCAGGACACTAACAGACGCACAACCGCACGAAATTTCCAGGCCTATGAGGAAGGCTCCTGTTAACTCAGCTGTGCAACCCAACAGCCAGCAAGATAAAAATGATCAAGTTCCGTTCCGTTTCCGTTCTTTTCCGTTCCGAGGGCTCTGGGGTGGGCGACTGGCTCCCCACTTCTAGGGGTCTATAAGGGAAATGGTGCCCTAAACGCTCAGCCCGCTAAGTCAGCCTACATCAAATCCAAAACACAAAACCCAGGCTGGCCACTAAAGCCCTCTGAAAAAAGTTCTCAAACAAAGTGCTCTTGAACCCAATAAGGGGAATTACAAGATGTTTCGAGGGCCTACCTTCAAACCCTATAGTTGCAATCTCTGAAATGACCCTCAATAGTTATTAACTTACACCATCAGGAGTTAACCCTAGAGCATTCAACCCTGAACCCGACGCCTCCCTAAGACTTAAAACCATGACCACCCAGCCCTCAATTCAGAAAGCCTACGCCCGACAACCATACACCCCGAACCCTAAACTCCAAACTCGAAATCCGTAAATCCTAAACTCTGGACTCTGAAACGTACCCTGAAACCATAAACTCCAACACCTAAACTTCTGAACCTTCAGTCCCAAGGCCTACAACCATGAACTCTCTGCTCTACAAAGTGCTAGGTCCTAAGCACTAAGCCCGAAAAACATAGAACCATAAACTCCAACCCTAACCTCACAAATCCACAGGCACACTTTGAGAACCCTAAGCTCCTAAACCCTAAACCCTAAACCCTAAACTTGGCCCTAAACCCTAAACCCCTAAACCCTAAACCCTAAACCCTAAACCCTAAACCCTAAACCCCGAACCCTAAACCCTGAACCCGCCACTCCGAGGTGGCTGAAGTCCTAACACCTCTCAAAACCCCCCCCCCACCCTAAACCCTAAACCCTAAACCCTAAATTCTAAACCCTAAACCCTAAACCCTAAACCCTAAACCCCTAACCCTAAACCCTAAACCCCTAAACGCCTAAACCCTAAACCCCTAAACCCCAAACCCTAAACCCCAAACCCCCAAACCCCACCCCCCGGAAGCGCCTCCGCAACTCGGCCGCGTCGTCTTGCAGCGCCGCACGGTAGAGGGCCCCGGCGGCGAACCTTGGGGTTCCGTGGGGTTAGGGTTCAGGGTTTAGGGTTTAGGGCTTAGAGGGCTTAGGGTTTAGGGTTTAGGGCTTAGGGTTTAGGGTTTAGGGTTTAGGGTTTAGGGTTTAGGGTTTAGGGTTTAGGGTTTAGTGTTAGGGCGTTTACAAGGCTTAGGGCTTTTGGGGGTTGAGGGTTCATGCCTTAGGGTTTCTAGGGCTTCAGGGATTTAGGGTTCAGCCTAAGCCCTGGCGGGGTTTTGGGGTCTCAGGGGTTCTGCCCTAAGGGGTTTCGGGGTCTCAGGGGAACCCTACGTGGGCATTTCCCAAAATAGGGTCCGCCAAATGTACCCCCAAAGTACTATATCCTTTTATAGGAAGCCCCCAAGAAAGGCACCCCCTATATTCGTAAACCCCTCTAAACCCTAAACCCTAAACCCTAAACCCCACACCCCAAAAATGGCGCCCAAGGCGCATGCGCCGCACCCGCGCGTTCATGCTGGTGAAGGCCTCGCACTCCTGCGGGGGCGGCTGATGCCACTCCTGGCGTCGGCTTTGCAGGTTTAGGGCTTAGGGTTTAGGGTGTAGAATTCAGGGTTCAGGGTTCAGTGTTTAGGGGTTAGGGTTTAGGGTTGAGGGCTTAGGGTTTCGGGTGTAGGGACTGAACCCAAAAAATGTTGTAACCCCCACACAAACCGTTACGGCTTTCAGGTTCCGCGTAAACAAGCGCATCCCTTTCAGGGCATCGCTAAACCCTAAACCCTAAAAGCTCGCTCCGAGGTGAAAACGCGTTTAACCCTAAACTCTCGAAGGTGGGGAAAAGGGTTGATTAAGGGTGGGGGGGGTTGAGAGTGGAGCGTTTAACTCTACATATCCCAAACCACAAACGCTAAACCTGAATGCCTAAACCCCAAATCCTAAACCCCAAACCCTAAACCCTGAGCCCCAAACTTGCAGGGTTTCAGGGTCTTGGCCCCGTGGTGGAGGGCAGGGGAATCCAAGTTGAGCAAAGGCAACCCTAAACCCTAAACCCGAAGCCCGAAACCCTAAAACCTAAACCCTAAACGACCTCCTCTGCAGTTCCAGCGATCAGGTGGAGGATCTTCCTTGCGCGACCCCCCAGGATGGGCTATTATAGGCCTGATAGCTTGGGATGCTCCCCCCCTTATACTAAGAGTCCTTAATCGGGATTACCCTAAACCCTAAACCCTATACCCATCGGGATTACCCTAAACCCTAAACCCTAAACCCTAAACCCTAAACCCTAAACGAGGGCGGTTGAGGGGGAACGTCCCAACTGAGGGAAAACCCAAGAAGAACCCCAACAGAAATGTTCGTTCCCAAACAACCGGTTCTCGTACTTTCAAGGATCCTGAGCTAGCTTCCCTAAACCCTAAACCCTAAACCCTAAACCCCCTAAACCCTAAACCCTTGCGGTTGCTTTGGGAACACCTGGGTTTGTGTCTTAGGCTGCTCTGGTTGCCAGGCAAGCCTCAAAGCCTCACAGGTTCAGGGCGCGTGAGAGCTCTTAGGGCTTAGGGTTTTAAGGTTTTTGTCTTTAGGGCTTTAGGGTTTATGGTTTAGGGTTTTAAAATTTTGTGTTTGGGGTTTAGGGTTGCAAAATTTAGCGTTTAGGGCTTTAGGGTTTAGGGCTCGGGGTTTAGGGCATGCAAGCCTGAAAAAACTGCAGCTACAGAATTGGGGCGCGGAACCTCAAACCTCATCGGCGGCACTTGGCGGCTTCGGGGTTCGGGCGTTTAGGGGGCTTCGGGCTTAGGCTTTGGGGTTTAGGGTTTTAGACAGAGTTGAGGGGGGGGAGGTTCAGGATGTAGCCCCTCAACCCGAAACCCTAAACCCTAAGCCCTAAGCCCTAAGCCCTGAACCGTAAGCCCTAAGCCCTAACCCCTAGACCCTACACCCTAAACCCGAAACCCTAAACCCTAAACCCTAAACCCTAAGCTGCAAATCTGGCGTCCTCTTGTCCTCCTCGCGGGAGGCTTTGGCCAGGCTAATGTCCACCGAGGCGCCCCGCGCAGCCACCTTTTTAGGGTTTAGGGTTTTACGGGTTTAGGGCTTTAGGGTTTAGGGTTTAGGGCTTAAGCACCTTCATTTAAGGAATAGCCCTTACATGATACTAACGCACTCTATTTTCAGGTAGAATCCCTAGTTGCGGGGCATGGGTGTCTCTGGGCTTTCAGCATCGCATTCCTTAAATCAGATTAGGATCCTTAATGAAGAAGGAATTGTCCCGAATTCAGGGGGTACTGGAGCCTCTTTATCGCGGACTTCTCAGCTTCTGTGCTTGCTGACCCATCCGAAAGGCAAATTGCAGTAGGCGAGGTCTCTGGGGTTTGGGCGCTAAAAGCTTTTGGTTTACCGGTTTGGGGGTTGTGTTTTGTTTAGATTTAGTGTTTAGGGTTTAGGATTTTGGTGCTTGCGGAGGCCAAAAGGGTGGACACCCAACTGAAAAAATGTAATACAAGAATGATATCATATTTCGTGTATCGTGTGAGAGCATATTCGAGTGCCATTTTTTCTACTATGTTATATCGTACGGGAAACCCTGAGGGGCCCACTTACCCCAAGCTGTTGAGGCTCCTGAAGGGCAAACAAATTGAGTTTAGAGGGGGGGGGGGGGGGACACCTGGAGAAGTGTGGGAAGGGCTCGCTGTAAAACTTCAACTCTAAACCCTAATTCAACCCTGAACCCTGAACCCTGAACCTGACCCTAAGGTGTCGAGGTAGAGGATCCGAGAACTGCGGGGGAACCAGGCCTGAAGGGGAAAGGCACCGCCCGTGGGCTCGTCATCGACGACCTCACGGGCCTCACAAAGTTCAGCTCGGCGCGCGCGCGCGCGCGAGGATTTGGGGCTGGTAATGGATCCTAAACTTAAGTACTGCTAGCATCCCGCAGAAGCCTCAACCCTAGACCCCCAAGTGAAGCGAGCTGCGGGTGCGTGAGATTGCGTGAGCAGAAGCGAGCGTGAGCTGAGGCATCCACTAGGGCTCGGGAGTTGGACCATCGGAGAAGTATGTGACCCTAAGTAGTCTTTCTTCACTCTCTTTTTCTTAGATTTTCAATCATTGATTCGCCTCTGTTCAACTTCATATTATTAATGTGTTTCGCTCACTCAGAAATCCATTCAAGTTCTCACCTAAAACCATATAGCCTAAACACTCAAGACCCTAAACACTACCCCTAAACCCTATTACCCTAAACACTCAACCGTAAACCCCAAACACTCCACCCCTAAACCCTCCACCCCAAAACACTCAACCCCTGAAGCCAAAGCCCTAAACGCCCCTGGGTTTAGGGTTTAGGGTTTAGGGTTTAGGGTTTAGGGTTTAGGGTTTAGGGTTTAGGGTTTAGGGTTTAGGGTTGAGGGTTTAGGGTTGAGGGTTGAGGGTTTAGGGTTTAGGGTTTGGGGTTTGGAGCCCCTCACGAAACGACGTGTTCAGGCCTTCGTTGTCCGCCAAAGGGGTCTTCCAAAATTAGGGCCTACTCTTTGCGGGGTCTCTATTAGGGGTCCCTTATTTTCGTAAACCCCATATCTGGTTCATAGTTGGGATAGTAATAAAATTTTACAATTTTATTCCTTATTGAGTCTAAGTACCCTTTAAAATGTAAAATGATACCCCACTATGATAAAGATATACTTCTGGAGGTCTACAAAGCCCCTTTTTAGAGCGCACATGTGATCTCTGCACCGGTCCCGCACTGGACCTTGTAGCCCTAAACCCTAAACCCTAAACCCTAAACCCTAAACCCTGAACCCTAAACCCTAAACCCTAAACCCTCGCATGGAACGACTGTGCACCAATGGTCTCTCTGAAGGTTGCATTGCGCTCCTGACCAGGAGAGGCTTTTCTAAGAGGAGGGGCCATGGCACCACCGTACACACCCAACCCCATACCCTAAACACTCAATCCCTAAACCCTATACCCTCAAACACTCAACCGTAAACTCTGAACCCCAAAACCCTATACCCTAAACACTCACCCCCAAAACCCTTTACCCTAAACACTCAACCCCTAAAACCCTTTACCCTAAACACTCAACCCATAAAACCCTAAAAGCCCTCACACCCTCAAACCCTCGGGTGCATCCCTGAACCCTAAACCCTAAACCCTAAACCCTAAACCCTAAACCCTAAACCCTAAACCCTGAACCCTAAACCCTAAACCCTAAACCCTGAACCCTAAACCCTGAACCCTGAACCCTGAACCCTGCCTGGCCGCCGCCCAAGTCAAAGCGGAGGGCCGGCTTAGCCTCTCACTTGAAGTTTCATGGGGGTTTACGATATTCGGGGGACCTTCTTGGGGTCCTTTTATAAGGGGATCCTACTATTTGGGTGTCTATTTTAGGGGTCCTTATTACGATATGAGGGGATCTTCTTGGGGTCCTTATTGTCAGGGGATCCTACTATTTGGGTGTCTATTTTAGGGGTCCCCTATCTTCGTAAATCCCCTCATGGGTCGGGCTTCGGGCTGAGGGTTTCGGGTTTAGGGCTGAGGGCCTTAGGGCTTAGCAGGATTTAGGGGTTTAGGGTTTGGGATTGGGGGGCTTCGGGGTTTAGGGGTTAGGGCTGTAGGATTCAAACGTAGGGTTTAGGGTTTGGGGTTTAGGGGTTTAGGGGTTTAGGGTTCATGGCTTGGGGCAGTACATGTATGAACGTAGCCGCCCTACCTGCTGCGGAGGTCGGGGCCTGGGGGCTCTCTTCAACGACTCAAAGCTCCAGTAAACAGTAGTCCGGCGTTGTGGGGTCACGAAATTTCTTCGCCGCGAGGTGAAACCCTTTAGAATCCAAGTGTACTGGCCGAATACACCTTAACAAGAATCTAATTTTCAAAGTCCACGGATGTTCTAAAAACGGAAAAACTCCTGTGGGGACTACAGCCAAGGTCCCGCTGCCTCGACAAACACACCAAGAACAAGCACATCTGGCGAGATTTGAGGCGCTTTCGCAATGGTACTTCACGCGTTGCGTGAACGATCCGACACTTGCTTTGAAGAACATACGGCGCTGAGCATGGACCCGAGGCCTCAAACCCCAAACCCCAAACCCCAAACCCTAAACCCTAAACCCTAAACCCTAAACACCCGAAGCCATCTTACACTAAGAAGTGGTAACCCGATGCTCCGGTCTTTGCAGATTGGAGTTCATGTCGTCCAAAGCGTATTGTCTCTAAATGCCCATTTTGGGGGTTGCTATTACGAGGCTACGAGGCGGCCCCGAACATTTAAGGTACCCAAAAGACCATAAGTTTCAGAACTGACCATATGCGTCCTCATCATGTGACCTGAGTTTATAGGCTGAAGCTTATTTCAAGACTGATCACCTCCAGCTTCAAGGCAGGGCAGGCGCTCACTGCTGCAGGCATGCCACCAGAACCGGTCGCAGCCACTGCAACGAAACTTGCATCATGGGCGCCTGTTATTCGTCGTTTCAAAGCTTCTGGGCCCAGGGCCCAGGGTCTAAAGTTCACAGGTTCAAATCGGGTGTTTGGGTTTAGGGGCTGTTTGTACGGTGTTCACTCTATGGGGAGGTAGCTACTTCAAAGAAAACCCTTGAACGATGTGAGGTCCCACCTTTCAAGCGAAGCTGAAGTTCGGGTGACCTTGCGCTCCTCCCAGAAGAGCGCCATATGAACATCAGTAGAGTTATCCGAAGGAGTAGTAAACTCGACATGGACGGTCGTGAACATGAAATCTTCAATCAGCATCGTCAGCATCAAGAACAAAGCTTTCCACATGCCCACATCATCCGGTATGGGAGGCAACTCGAGGCGAAAGGAGTCAAGGTGGTTCTTATGCCTGACGACGTCTTGTTTTGAGCTGAGAGCCTCTACCGCGGCCAGATCTCGGACCACATTGCGTCCACTGATATGAACGAAATCCCGCAGAGCCTGTCCGGTCAGCTGCGTGACGGGAACGAAGGGCCCGTGGCCATCCCAACCACAGTGTCGCTCTGCAAACCGTCGTACTGCATCATCATCCTCTGGCCCTGGTGAGCAGAAGTAAGGCGAATTTTCGCTTGCTTGCATGTCTCGCAAGAGGGCTTCCAAGGCAGGCACTTTGGAAATGTGCGCTTTCACATGCTGCCGCCACTCTCGACTGACCGCCCTTGCATCGAAGCAATGCTGCGCGGGCAGAAAGGTGACAATGCTGACGTGGGCCTCCCTGCTCAGCAGACGAGCTTGTGCCATCGCTGGGGGCACTCTGCGGGCAACCTGTCAACACAGAGAGCGGCACTGTAGTAGCGAATCCCAAAAAGCGTAATATTCATTAAGATGTGTAGGACTTTAGGAAGGGACTTTGGACCTAAAGGCTATGGTATTTGTTAGCTACCCTGCCATCTCTAGAGACGCCTTTTGCATTGGTGCTGCTAACCCCCGAAGTGACCATCAGCTTAGCATGCGCCACAAGCTATCTTCTGTGCCGCCATCCCGTTCTTGGGGTTTTTGGGAATTTGGTTCTACTGGCCCATGGAGGAACTCAGTAACTCCCTAAACCCTAGAGCAAGAAGTGTGGCGAGCGGAGTAGGACGCGGTCAGGCCCGAGCAAGTCCCTCAAGCCTTACGCATAGGCTCAGGTCCCGCCAAGACCTGACTTGGAGGTTCGTGGTACTTAGAAACCCAATTATAACTACTGGACTTAGAACCCAAGTAGAACCCTATTGGGGTACTTCAGGGGCTTAGAAGTGGGTTAGAACTACACTTACAAGTGGGTTCTACGTACCCTGCAAGTAAACCCTACACCTCCCCTGAAAGGGTTTAGGGCTTAGGGCTTAGGAATGTAATTCCTCACCCACCGAACCCTAAACCCTACGCAAGCTACCCTAAACCTTCCACATTAAGTCCTAAACCACCCTAAACCCTAAAGCACGTCACGTTAACCCCGAACCCTCAACCAACCCGAAACAAACCCCCTCGGCCCTCAACCAGAAAGCCAAGCTCCCGAACCCGAACCGACCCCGAAATGACCCTATGGCTGAGACGGGCTGAGATGGGTTCAGGGTTCAGGGCTTCGGGTGTTTGGGGTTTAGGGGTGCTGGGGGGCTTCAAGGTTCACAATTAGAGTGCTTGGGAGTTATTGGGCCTAGTGACAGAGCCCCAGCAGGAAGATCCCACAGCCCCTGAAGCCTTCACATCCAGAGAACTGTACCAAGTGGGGCTTTCGGGTTCAAAAGGGGTTTCGGGTGGAGGGGTTTAGGGTTTAGGGTTCAGGACTTCGGGTTTAGGGTTTAGGGCTTAGGGTTTAGGGTGGAAGGGTTTAGGGGTTCAGCACCTGAAAGCCCAAAATACCCCCTGAAACCCCAAATCCCTGAACCCTAAGTCCTCTGATTCTCAGCAGGGAATGAGGGAATAAGGGCCCCATGTAAGCCCTTTAGGGGGTCCTCATGCCCTAACCCTAAACCCTAAACCCTAAACCCTAAACCCGAAACCCTAAACCCTAAACCCTAAGAACCAGCCAGTAAGTCCTCCCTTCCCAGGCGCCGGCACGGGCCGCCCGCCATGCAGAGCCGAGTTGGCCGGCAGCCAGGCCGCGATGTCGTAGAGGTACTCGCCGCCCTGCTCGCTTTGAGGAAGGGTTTAGGGTTTAGGGTTTAGGGTTTCGGGTTTAGGGTTTGGGTTTAGGGTTTAGGGTTTAGGGTTCAGGGTTCAGGGTTCAGGGGGGTTTGGGGTTCAGGGTTTAGGGTTTAGGGTTTAGGGCTTAGGAATCGGGAATTTTAGGGCTCGGCATTGGGACCAAGCTTAGCTGTCGATGTGTTTGTTGTCAGGTTGACGGTTAAGGGCTTTACTGGGCTGAATGACCATAATTCGCAGACTTAGCATCAACAGTCGGAGCAATGAAGAGAGCACATGCTAAACGACGTGGTTGATTTGTCCTGCCGTGCTGGTTCAAAATCCACATCCGCATGCTCCGCATGCTTCTATTTTGTTGCCATCCGCGGCGGACCCAATCTATCGGACCCTTTGCAAGCAAACGACGTGTCCCTTGTCGCGCTCTGCACGACTTCCTCTCGCTAGTTGAGCTCTGAATCAACGAGTTGCAAGACTACACACAGCAGATCGGCACGCGCCTCCTCTTCCTGGAAAATGGTGCAGGTTCCCATATCTCCCCCACGAACAGATGCTGCTTTGAGCTTCAGTTGTCCCTAAACCCTAAACCCTAAACCCTAAACCCTAAACCCTAAACCCTAAACCCTAAACCCTAAACCCTAAACCCTAAACCCTAAACCGCAAACCCTAAACCGGCAGCCATCAAAGGCAAGGATGTGCAGATGTTCTCCGCAAGCTCTTATGACTTTGTACAGCGGCAGACCTTTTGAAGTCGTGAGTTTGTTTGTGTGGACCTTTACTAGTTCATGGTTGGGATCGTATTCAAAACTTACAGTTATATTCCTTATTGGGTTTAAGTACCCTTAACTTTAAAAAAAAAAAGTTACCCAACTTTGACCAAAATTTCTTCCCAAAGCAGCGCCATTTGGGCCTCCTACGTTCGGGGCAAAGGAGGTTGGCCCGCCCGAACGATTCGGTCAGAATCCCATCGGCGCTCCCTGCAGGAAGCTCTTCCTCATATGAAGTAGGGTTCATATTGCTGTTATTGGTGAGTGTATATAAGGTTCCTTTTTAATACAGGTGTGGTGTATATGCGCCCGCGTTCCGCGTAATCGAACCCACCCCCCCCCCAAATGGTAACCCCCCCCCCCCCCCCCCACCAAACCCTGCCTGTTAACCCTAAAAACACCACGGACCACGGGGGGGGGGGGACAGAGAAGCCTCAGCCTAAACCCCAAACCCTGAACCCTAGCCCTAAAACTTAAACCCACCAATGAACGACGGGAGGGAGAAGGGTAAACTCGAAACTTTGCTGCTTTAACTTTGAACCCTCAACCGTAAACCCAGCACGAACCACGGGAAACCGTAAACCTATCATTACCCCGAACCTTGAACCCAAATCAAACTCTAAACCCACAGTGAACCAATGGACCAGAGTGAAAATCCTGAACCCTAAAGCCTAACCCTAAACCCCTAAACCCTAACCCATGAACCACAGACCATGAACCACAGGGGGGGGGGGGAGGGAACCCAAAACCCACCATGAAACCACAGGGGGGGGGGGATACCATCATGGGGGGGGGGGGGGGGGGGAGGGGGGGGGGGGGTGCGCCTATGCTGGCCCATATATACCTGGTGTCCTGTTGGGAGTACAAGAAATATATACCCTGGCTCAAGGTGGCCTGTCCCTTCCCGGGGGTGAGCTGTTAGTTAGTTGCTTTTGCGTGGTCCCTTCCCCTTGGATTAGGATCATGGCAGCCGACTACAAAGCCAGGCCCAGGATAAGAGAGATCTATTTCTCTCTGATGCTCATGGTTGCGAGCTTGTGTGGCACGACCCATGCCTGCTCTCTGTACCCATGTGAGTACCATATCAGCACAAGACACAACGAGACGAATTGGTTCTCGAAGAACCGAATCTTGCACTCACGAGCTTCTACAAATGAAGCAAACAAGTCAAACATGCCAATGCTTAAATTCAATGCTATACCGTATCTCGCGTGCAGCGAGAATGATATGTGCCAAGCATGCAATGAACATTTGTTGCGCTGTCAAAGCAACCCTACTTGTAGACAGTCTCACAGACATGTTGTCTACCCTGTTGCCGAGACATGGGTGTCCCGGCAACATGAGTGGATGCTGTGGGCTGAAGTGGGACGGCGCCTGACCCATCAGGACATTGATCTTGTTCACCACTACTTCCAATGGCCGGAACAACGTATCACAAATTTCGAGCAGACACTCACTCAGCAAAAACCTTTTATGGTTTTCTTCAGCTTTGTTTCTCTTTTGCAGCAAATTTGCCAGCACATTTGTGAGCAAAAACCTTTTGCATTTCGAAAAGTCAAGGCAAACTTTAACAGATGTCTGATGAGCACTCTTGATGACGTGATGAAGGGCTTTCAGGAGTGGGAAGTTCGCCTCACTTTACTTATCTGGGCTTATGTGTGGGACGTGATTGTCCTCATTCTCTATGGGGAAAAAAGACGAGGTCGAAAACTTAATGCCAGTGGGATGGCATCACGTTCCAAAAGTGCACAATCAACTGGGTGGTTTCTCGGGGCGTTCATGTCCTTCTTGGTCAGGTTAAGCCGGGTTGCTCTGTTGGTTTATGTTGCGAACTTGGCAGGTAAGTGTAGCACGCCAGCTGTGCTGCTTCAACACCCTTCAGACAGCAAAACCAGCAGGCCTTCGCGTAATGTTTGGGATCAGTTTCCGAATCTTTATGTGATCAAGGATTCAAATAGAAGAGAGCACTTCGGGACTCATGTTGATTGTTTTCAGGGAGACCTTGAAAAGACTTTGCGGTTCAATCGAGTCATTGGAGATGGCAATTGTCTCTGGAGAGCTATTGCTGCACAAACGCCAACGCGCATGAAGTGGTATACTCTCAAAAGACAAACAATCGCTTACATGAAGGCACAAGCAAGCGAAGCAAATCAACAAGAGCTTCTGCTGCATGTTGAAAAGTTGGCCAAGAGAAACGCTTGGGGCAATTTACTTGCCATACTTGGTGCTACCTCTCTTCTAGGCGTACCCATTTTCGTGACTGCTGGCGGACAAGTGATAAGATGCCTGCCTGGGTCTAACTCGGCTGCGAAGAGGAAGGGCGTCTATCTTCACTACAGTAACTTCCACTTTAGTGTGCTTGACCCAAAGTCAATCTCGAGTATTCCGTACTTTGGTGGAGATGAGCGATCCTACAGCCTCGGGCAGTTCACTGCTATCCCGATAGATAATTACCCGAAACACAAAGCTGTCATGCAGTATAGCAGAGGGATTTGTCACTCCAAACGTACCAGCGGCAGATGTTGTCGGCTGGCCAAGTTGCGTGCTGACTGTACGTTCTCAGCTTGCGCTCCACAAATATGTAAAACTGGTTTGCCGCAGACAAGGGCTGAAAGCACAAATTTAAGTCTCACTTTCGTCTCACCAACAATGGTCGGTGGTGGCAGTGGCAAGCCAATTTACAAACCAGCCGGCAATCCTTCACCAACCTCACGGAGGAGACTTGATGAATCGTTTGCAGCACAGGTGGAGCGTATCGCGAAAGCAAAGACAAGTTCTGTGCCTGCAGCATTTCGCAATCATCCTACGCCTACGCCTTCACCAACAAAGGCTGTGGAGATGCCTCAAACTGAGGGGTCTACAAGCGTGCTCAAGGCTACACCAATGAAGAGGAGACCGCCTACTCCGCCTCAAAGACCAACACGTAATCCCAGCGCTGCGCCGAATTTGGTATTGGACTCGCCAAAGGCTGTACCTGCGCCCGCTGCCAATGCTCCGGCGACGACGCCTAAGCATAAGGCTATGCCGCGAGCTGCTTCTGTTGTGGTATCCTCCGCCATTGGGGGAATGACGCCCTCGGAGCCTGCTCACCCGCCTGCTCCGCCAAACTCTGAGGTCAGGGTTTTGCACATCCTCTCAGAGGGTGCACGTTTCAGAGTGGCTTATCCGTGGGAGACCAGAAGCAACTATTGGGTACAGAGGGATGTGCGTTGGTTGCGTGATGTGACCGAAGAGAGTACCGACTACTCACACATTGGCACATATGTGGACACCATCAGCAAATTCCTTCGCAATCCACAATTTTTGCAGGAAGTCAAGGATGCGCTTAAGCTGGCAGTGGAGTCTGAGCACTCAAACGTTGCGCTCGCTTTTAAATGCACAAGTGGTAGACACAGATCTGTAGCGCTCGCTGCAGTTGCTAGGGATATCATGCGGATCGCCTATCCTGAAGTTCAAATCCATGTGACGCACACTGCAGCCCCGCACTGGGCTCCGCAGATTAAGTGCGCAGGTCAGTGTAGCAGATGCACCATGATTCTCACCAATCCACCGCCGCTCTATAGCCAAACGGTTGAGAGGCTGGCGCGCGAATTCATTGTCGAGCTGCGCGAGAGGTATATGCAGGGTTTGTTGCCAGGGCAGTCTGAAGTACAACCTGTCACGTGCACTCATGCTCCTGAATCATTTCCCGGAGGCAATACCGGTAGCAACTATGTCATTGCGCAAGAATACCAACTTAGCCGCATTCCCATTGTAAGCGTTGATGGCACTTGCTGCAACCAGCATTTGTACACAACTTGCACGCCTAATGTCCCTGCACGCCCGTACAACTCAGCAAAAACCAATTTGGAGTTTGGAAAAAATTGCTTATCAACACCAGACACCGAAAGCAATTTACAGCAAGCAGCCTCCCCTCTTTCTTGGTTCCTTAAGTTTGCGGTTTTGGCTCTCTGTACCTTTATCCATGTTGTAAGGAAAGACAGTGCGCTTAGACTTCACCATCATGGAGCTGACGCTCGCATCAACGTGTTACATCAAGCACTAATAGGCGGTATGGACTCCTCTACTGGTGTTGATCCTCAGCTGTTTGAAGCCCTAAGTCCCATTCCCAATTCGGAAGATGACGTTGATGTTGATGATTTAGTTGCTTTCTACACTTCTTTACAACGCATTTCTGAGCACAACCTTCTTGTTCCTTCAATTGAGTACAAACCGGAGCAT